TTGAGTAATTGCCCGGAATGTTCATTAGTCACATCTATCCGATCGGGTTTTTTATTTACCCTATCGGGTAAAAGACAAATCTTTGCCAAATCTTCGCTCTGCATGTTAAATTGCCTCCAAATCAAATTTGATCTTCGGGTCAAGTCAAACCCGATCGGGTTTTTGGAAAACCCGGTCGGGTTTTTGACTATTTTCCCAAATTTTCATTTTTTGTTGTTCCCTTGCACTTTTCTTGAACCTTCCAGGATCCTTTTGACGATCTTTACCTAGTTTAAGCTCAGGAAGTCCATAATCTAAACAAATTACAACTATTTTACAAACTAAACTATTACACCAAAAGTGTGTAATTTCCAAAGTAAAAGTCGATCAAAACTAATTAAAAATACAAAAATAAACATGGAAATTACATGAATGTCACCATGGTTGCCCGAAACGCAAATGGACGGATAGCACCGATCCCAAGAGGAAGATGATAAACGATAAATCAAAATTTCAAAAATTTCAGAAAAATTAAAATAAGATTTTTCTGTTTTTTCTAGTCACCCTTGTCTTCAGATTTTTTAATAGAATCAAATAAGTTATACTTTGTCTATAAATCTATAATAAATTATATACACATAATCCCATTAATGCACTTTGATTAGATGTTAATCTTATGACTTGATGAGACGAATGAACGGTTATATATTTGCTAATCAGGATCAACGATCGAGTTTCTTTACTGGGTGGCTGTTTGACTGCTTATATATGTGATAATAATTACTTTTGGAAATTGTTCATTGGGATTTGAGACTAATTAAAAGCAATTTTGGAGACTGTAGTAGTAATTCGATATCCAAGATGGTACAGAATATTTAGTTTATTTATATTGGAAACAGAAATTCTACTGATCTTCTGATTCTTATCCGCCTTAACTAGTTAACTCCTTAAGAAAAAAGTTTTTGATTCCAAATCTTAATTTTAAAAACTTTCTTCAAAATTTAGAAATAAGATTTTTTTTTTTTTATTTCTAAAAATATGATTTATGTAATTTTTTTTATAACCCAACAGCTAGCAAACCATGATATTATAGAGTAAAGACACGAACATTGAACACCATGCCAATCTACGAAGAGACATGAGTAACAAATTGCGAGGACATATATATATATATATATATATATATATATATATATATATATATATATATATATATATATATATATATAACAAATCTATATATATATAGATTTAAGATCGTGAGAATTTGATCTTAGGAGAGAAAAAAGAATGAATTCTAGCCGTATGATCTTGTGATTTTTTAATATGTCAAGTCTCTCTCATTAAGGGCAAATAAGAGATTTTTACATCATATTAATGCAATCCGATTATTTCCATAAATGTTTCCTATAATCTCTCATGACCAGCCATCTTAATAAGTTGTTATTGCTCTACGGTTGTTTTCTATTTCTACCAAGTGCATTCTTAAATAAATTAAGTAGCAATTGCATTTGTTCACTAAACAAATGCACTTTTAACAATTACAATAAATGTGCATTGCACTCATTGACAATAAAAGTGCACTTCTAATAGAGTACAAAATAACACAATTACGTACTATTATCATGTCTAGGTAAATTACTAATATAACTTACTAATAAAGTGCACTAGAAGTGTTGAATCAAAATATGAATGTACATTTTGAATTTATATAGTGTGTACTAGGTCGCACGAGTGTGTTTTAATCATTATTGAAAAAATCCTCTAATTTAAATTAAATTTAAATGTCTCTGAAAACATCTAAGTTGGTAAGCATATTCAGGGACGGATTACATTCATATATTTCTACAAATATGTAATATTTTCATACTTTAATTGGACATATATGTTTTAAATCCCCTTAACTTTAAATTTAATTTTCAAAGTTAATATGTAGCCTTACATAATATACAACGTAATTGGAGATTTGAAGAAGTAACATCTAAAATAATTTACATAACTTAAATAAATAAGCAATAAAAAAACTCATTGTTTAATATTTAGGATACCTAATATATAAAAATTCCTAGTTTCGTAATGTTTAATTATCTTTATTAGATAATTAGTACACGATTTTGTAAAATATCAAATGATATTAAATGTCAGACACACTAGTTAAATAGTTTTTAGATCATTTGAAATGAATCCAAAATATAAATGTTTATTGACATTAAATTACACAATTCATTTACTTCTTACATTCTAAAAACAATTTTTTGCATAGATAATAAACTTTAACTTATTTCACCATATATATGCACAACTAATACATCACTAATACAAATATAATACGCACCATATTGAATTAACAATACATACAATATTATACTAAATATAATAATTTCATATATACTATTGTAATATTAAGGAAACTCCCCGTTACCAACGAACACCTTTTTGGTAGACAAAAATCGCAAATCAAAAAACAATTCTTTATACTAATAAGATTCATGTGGTTAAACAAGACATAAGTTATTTACAAAACATTGGTTGATGTATACCTTTGAAACTCATCTCCTTCAAATAATATGATAAAATGTTATAGTCGTATACGGTACAGCCGACTGTACAGTGTCTGCCGTACAACCGGTAGCAAACTTGTAATTTTGGTGAAAATCATATATTCTCTTTAAATGAGCATTGAATCAATTTCGATGAGCACCAAACCTCTTCTTTTGAGTATTAGGAGCCTAACGATGAGCATCGATGATATCTGCTTCATTCCTCATATATCACATTCTTTTTAATATTTTTTCGTTTATTAAAAAGTTTTAGTCCAAATAAGCATACATAACTTAGAGGTTTGCCATGCTTGACCAGTACGTAGAATAATAAAGTAAAAACTATGTGGTGCAAATTTGTGCAGAGGAGAAAAAAATAACAGGAGTCACAAATCGATTTATTAAAAGGGAAAGTGGCAAAATTTTGACGACATCCAAAAAAAGAAAGTTGGTAAAGGTATAAGGGATGGAGGGAGTATCAAATAACTAAAAAGTACATTTGTGCGTGCTCATTCATTTTGGGCGTTATACTCATTTTAGTTTAAACATAAAATGCATTTCATTGAAAATGAGTATTACACTAATATCAAATGAGTGTACATAAATTACAAAATGAGCATTCATAAAACTCATTTGAAATGTCTACTATGCTCATAATTTCATTTATTATGCTCACATCTGAAGAATTACGTAGAATTTAGATTTTTCTAACATGTGACCAACAAGTGATCAAACTCTCTCACCAAACTTAAGTAAGAAAAAGAGAAGAAGGAAGAGTCCAAAGCAAGAAAGAGGGAGAAGAAGCAGCTAGGGCTATGCACTAGGTGCTGCCCAGGAGCCGCCGCTGAAGCCGGAGTTCGAGGTGCTACGCTGGTGCTGGAGAGTTGCGGTTGTTGAGAATCATCATCTGTGTAAGCCATATTTGGTTGCGCTAATCGATCGGAGTATGTGGCGGCTTGGGCTTCTTCGTGACTTGGGGACCTGGGCAGTCGATTTCCGTCTTTGTCGATGTCCTTCTTCCTCTTCGCAGATGAGCTGCAGCACAAATTAATTACAAAAAACCCGGTTGTACTGTGCGCACGGTACAATCGGCCTTACCTTGTAATTTACAGACAAGGTGGAGACAAGAGGCGTCTTTAGCATTTCAGAGGCCCTAGACCGAAAAAATCTTACGCCGCAAAAAAACATATTGAAAAGAGATAAATTGAATAAAAACAACATATAGAAAAATGTATTCAAAGTGTACGATATAAGATTTTTAATATTCAAAAGGATAAGTTTTAAAGGCAATAGTACAAGCATTTGCAAAATACATCACAAATAGACCCCGAGTCAAATTTCCGTTTTCCCGTCATACTAAAGACGCTCCTGATGACAATATTCATGGATAATACAAAGTAACAAAAATTTCAAATTAATTAACAAAAAAACTAAAACTTCTATTCTTCTAAATACAATGACAAATTAAACAAAATAAATACGTACTTTACGAATAGGAAAATTCGGAAATTTATTCTGAATGTTGCAGCTGAGTTGCTTTTTTAATGGCAATCAGGCAATCAACCAATCATAAATTAATAAAAAAAAAACTAAGAACTTCTATTCTTCTAAATAGAGCAAATTTTATATTCATATTTCTATTTATTTTCTAAGTCACAATAAATACGGAATAGCTCTTACATCACATGTGGACTGAAAATTCAGCAATTTATTTTGGCTGGTTGACGCCATTACAACCACAAACTGTACTTATTTATGTCATCATCTTTATCCTTTAGAGAATTAGAGATTATAGTAGTATAGTACATGTATTTCATGATTTCTATTAGAAATTAGAGAAATAAGAGAGCAAACTCACGGAGTCACCCTTCGAATTTATGGAGAAGCAGGCGACAGCACCGCAGCAGACCCAACAACAGCATACGGAAAACCAACGGTGCAGCACGGAGAAAGAATAAGTCGCTCACTCTTCGACAGTTCGGCGGAAGGGCGGATGCTTGTTTGCTTGGAGAATCAGAGATTTCAGTATTCAGAGTGGAGCCGTAAATTAGACTCCACACCTCCCGCCCTTCATGGTCATTCAGACAAGACCTCCACAAAACTAATTTATTATTTCTATTATTATTATTATTATACATAATAGGTAATGCTAATAGGTACTACCTCCGTCCCGAAAAGGTTGGCCAAATTTCTTTTTTTGGATGTCACAAAAAGATTTGTCATTTCCATTTAAAGTAAAAAATATGTGGCTATAATTAATTCTCTCTACTCTGCACAAATTTCAACCATAGAGTTTTTTACTTTATTAATTACGTGAAATTCAACTTTGGTTAACCTTTTTGACATTGAGAAAGAATTTTTTTAGTTTTTTGGGACCCTCTTGGGAGGTGAGGCCCAAGGCACTTGACTAGCCCAACTCCTCATAAAGCAGCCTCTGACAGGAGTGGTATTCTAAGAGTCGTTTTGCTTGCATATAAACAC